ACATTGCGTCGATATGTATTTGAATTGAATTGGAAATATCTGAGCTATTTTATTTTATTTATTTTTGAAGGATGAGTCAAAGTACCGTTTAGATAGTATATTTATTACATTTATTTGTCTCTTTTATTAAAAATCACGGGGCCGAAATTAGGGATCTATATTTTTGATGTCTAAATATCGGTAGGGTGGCCGATATTTAGAAAATGCATAAAAACGTTTAATAACATGTTTACCTATTTTAATTTATAGCAGCAACACAAATAAAGTTAAAAATGAGACAGCCCAATCTAAATCCTAAGATCGGCCGCCTATACACTATTCCATTATTAAAGGGATTTATGCATAATAACGGTCATCTTAATTTTTTGTATTTTTATTGATATTGCATTGCTTTTGCCTCTACCAGTGTCATTATTTATCATCAGCCTTTTAACGTCCCCACTGAAGAAGCTCAGGCTTTTTTTATGGTTGGTGAAGGAGAATGGGCCATGACCATCCACGCTGGCTTTATGCGGATCGGAGGGTATTAACGACTGCAATTGCAGCCGGGACCAACGCATTAACGTACAATCCGAAGCATGGAGTCGCTCGAGGTAATAATTTTTTGGTCACCCATCTCGTGACCGACCCTTGCGAGTTGCTAAATAACAAGACCGCTGCCGCGGCGTTTATCCACTACGAGTTATAGGTATGTTGTATCACCAGCATTAAGAAAACATTTATGTGCTTCAAAAGAACTAGATCTGGAAAGACTATGAGAAGGGATATGTTGTCAAACAAGCGAGTAACCATTTGTGGCATATGTCACATTCAACATTCTTGTCTACATATTCATCGATATCACTAATCAACTCTTTTTTACAGTCTGCACAAAGCTGGTTTCCCTTTTCTTTATTACTTTATTTTACAAATCGCCGGTGGTACAACACACACCATACAGGCCTAAGGATTGTATTTATTATCTAGGAACGTGTGTCATAATACCTGGACGCTCCAGGTATTATATAGATTGCCTTCGTATTGTATAGAATACCTGAATTATATAGATTGCCGGTAACATATATTTGACATACGCATTTACAAGGGTATGTGTAAAAAATGCAAATATGGTTACTTAATAAGATCAATCAAACTCATTAATTACACCGATACATTTATTAAAATATTTCTCATTTATAATTATCACATATTAATAGACACGCCACATAATTGACATGATTATGGAAATTACAACGATAAACTTTACCTAATTAATATTTACTAAGTACTTATATAATAAGCAATAAATTATATTGTATTAATAGATAAACACAATATATCTTTGGGTATGTCTACTAAATACTAAAAATAATCTACTTTCACTCAGAGCGTCGTCTGAAGAAATAGCACATTTTGTAATTTCCACACCTATTATAGAATGACTATTTTTGTTTGTACGACTGTCGTCGTGACATCGCGATATATATGTATATATAGATTATTGAAGAATATTTTTAAAGATTACGTGTTTTTTTTTAATTACAGCGATACTCCTCAGCTTTAATGACGATTAATTAAGCTATTTCTTGTTAAATTTATAAAAAAAAAATATGTATCTTTTTCTATTATCTAACTGTCCTTATATCTGTTCTATTACAATTGTTATAAGATAATAAAAATAATTCATAAGTAGGTAACTTACATACAAGACACATTAATTTTTAACTTTTAATTCTGATTTATTGACATCAACGAGATTTAAATACTTAGGTTTACTAATATTTTTAGATTACTTTTAAAAAATCTGAGAAAACATTCACCGAATAGATGGTTATGAACAGAAGTTGTCAATTTAATTATATATATATATTATGTAGATTGTTTTTATTAATGTTGCTAGGAATATTATACAATAAAGCCTCGGCTCTACAAAAAGCTGCTAGAAGAGTTTGGTAAGTGAGTTCGCAAATTTTAACATTGTATTTTTTTTTTCTCAAATTTTTAACATTCATTAATATCAACACATAAATGGTTGGGTATGAAGTTTCTTCGCATTTTATATGAAAACTCAAAACATTTATTTACATTTAACTAAAGAATGTAGGTACCGTTTTGTTCGATACTCCTTTGCCGTCAATGGGATTGTGTCCCTATCTACGTAGGGACCTATCTACAGTAGGGACACAATCCCATTGCTTGGTCAAAAAACCGTGACAAGTGGTTTTGGCAATCCTCGCGTGATGTTAACCTAACACTGCCTAACGAATTCTGAAGAGACTGAAACAGGTGGAAATCTGAAGGTGCGAGATCAGGACTACTCTCGTAATTTTTGCTGAGTGGCAAATGATGTATGAGGTCTAGCTTTATCATGATTCTATTAATTATGGTTCATTAGATTTCTTTTAGTGAGCTCGTGAGGTAGCCAAGAATATCCATTTTTTTTTGTGTACGTGTTTTTCAAATGCGCCAAAACCTGTATGTGGTCAATCCTCAGTTCTTCAGCTACTTCGTAACAACTGATATTCCGATCTTACTCTACTTTTTCAAAAATAACATCCATTTTATCCGTAACAATGCGACCGGAGGGACGTGCATCTTTGACATTAAAATTTCCGAACTGAAAACGCTTAAACCAAATTTGTGCTACTCTCACAGAAACTGCACTAGGTCCATAAACGTCACAAATTATTTTTCGCGGCTTGCGTTGCGTTTTATCTTTTTTGTAATAAAATTTTAAAATGTATCGAATTTCTTCATTAGATTCACTCATTTTGACAGTAAGAAAAACAAATGAAAAGCGCCCATTTTCCTAAGTTGAATTCGAAGTTATCTTCTTAAAATTTAAACTTTTTAATGATACCGAAACCAGCCAGCTACAAAAGTTATATCCAGAAATATTTTATTAAAAGTTTATGCATATAAAATGCGAAAAGACTTTTCCCCTCGTTGATAAAAAATGAAGACTGTATTTTTTTTTATTTAAACGTCTTTATTACTAATTATATTTTATTATTATTATTACATTTAAGACTAGAAATCGTATTCATCTATAAATTTATAAACTAGCAACCTTACTTTACGTTGAAAATCAATTAATCAACTTAATATCTGATTAACTAACCACTACTTAATAAGTAGTAATTACGTATTGTTTTATTTATAAACGCTAGTTAAGTTAGTTAACTTGAAACTAACTTGAAAAAAAAAATCGAATTGATCTGTTTTGAATACTTGAAATTTTATTTTTATTATCTCATGTTGCTGACACCGCGTACCTTTCATTAACCATTTTATAATATTATTCATATATAGAGTATGACAGACAAAACAGCAGTATAGTTGTTGACCACTTATAATAATTAGTCAATACATTTTTTCAATTATTAAATATACATTTACATTAAACAGAATTGCGTCTTTTTGGTTAACACCCGATGTGATGTTGACTTAGTTAATCACTCGTAGTCTTACATAGATGGCGTTTGTTACCGCCAGTTATTTATTATAATTTAATTATTTCATGCGTGGTAAAACTCCGAATTTCCACCTCCCTTAAAGCATTTGAAAGCAGCGCCCATAGTGACGTCTGTCGCCGTCTAGCGATCAAGACAAGAAAAGCCAGTTTGAATATGGCTCCCCTGCGAACTCGATTATTCGGCGTATTAATTGGCTAAAAATCTTAATAATTGGCATAACATATGTCCGTAATTAATCCGTAGATTTAAATATATAAATATGTATTATAGATTAAAATTTAAGTCTCGCTAACGTACACATAAATTATGAACATAATTCATTAAAGTAAGCAAATCTTTAATAGGGTGTTTGACGTTTTTCTGAACACTAGTTTAAACGGTTGTTTGATACATTATAAACCCACAGTCAATATAATTCACGAGAATCTGTTCTATTTTCGATAAAATAAATGTTGAAGTTAAAATAGCCAAAATCACGTTAAAAAGCTGCTTTATGTTATGGCACTAGTCACGTGGTATATGTGACGTCACATGTCGGTAAATATGTCAAGGTGTCATAACCTATTTATCACTATTTATTAACGAAGTAAGCAAATAGTATTACAGAAAAGAAATTGAAGTTAAATTTTATAGTTTTGTTTATAAGAATGAGTAACAAATTGTATGTATAAATACATATTTTGCGTATCTCTAATAACACTGTTTTAGCATGACAGCTTCCTGTTTACGTGTGACGTCACATGCCAGTAAATAGAACCTGTTATTGGTCGCAACGACAACAAATTACAGGGCGTTTTCTTCGTTCATTAAAATTCCTAAAAATGTTGCGTTTTCTGTACGTTATTTTAGCAAAGCTAAATATATTTAGTCTACAGATTCTAAGAAATAAACTTTATTAAAATATTATGTAACAGGTTGACTATACTATGCAACTTATTTTTAACAGTGTCTAATACACTATTAAATAAATGAACATAATTAAAATTAATAAATAAATTGTATGAATGGAATGGCATATAAAGTTACGACGACGTTGCCGTTCTGGCGTACGGATTGAGGTATTACAGTTATTTATCTCTAAATATTGATTAAAAAAATATAATTTCAAGCGCACACAATTAAGTTTCTTAGCCGGGAATAAATATAGTCATCAAACGATATTAATGCCGGTTTTTACTAAAATTGAAAGTCGCCAAAATATTTAGAAATCTCCTAAAGTGAAAATGCATTTAACTAATTACTAGGAAACACTTAATGAAATTAAGCAATGTCTAATGTTGTAACATGCCTTATGCGGCGCTAGGGAATTGTGTAATATGTCGGGTCACAAATGGGATGAGAAATAAAAGAAAGATAGGTATGATTTGAAATTAAACTAATTTGTTTAGGCTTCTCGTATGATTAGGCATTTCCTAATTAAGCTATAGCCCCTTGCTCTAGGTAAGAGAAAATCTAAGTCAGATCTATATTACGACACACGTGCCCTCCCTCCTCCGTGTCCATTCTCCAGATAACGTCAGTCAGTCTATCAGTAATATTACACTATCAGTCGTCAAGCACGTGTGATTGTATCGAGGGTTTTTTATTAGTGTTCATGATGGCTCGCAGCACGTCCGGAGGTGTATGTTCAATATGTGGCGCCATCTTGCGTCTCGCGTTGAACTTACTCAACACTGGTGGAATCTTGCATGTAGAAACTGCAAGTGAATATACATCATCAGCCTAGTATCCTTCCAACTGTAATACACACCTTCTCTTCTATAACAAAAGATGAGAGAATGTATCCAGGGGCCTAATTGTGCAATTTTAAATCTGTCGCAACCCTTTTCAATTTGAAATATATTCACGAACTTCCCGCTACAGTTATTTGATACATAACAGCGATTACAAACTTGAATGAAACATATCGTTACTTGGAATTATCTAAACAAAGCGAAAACTACAAGAAATTACAAACTAAAGAGTTATATGCTAACTGCAATCTTTCGACGGTTTTACTTTTATATTTTTTTGTTCTTTCAACAACAACGGATTACGATAGATTATAAAATTAGACTTTTAGCCCACAGGTTTCAAAATATAATATCACCCACCATCTGGGTCGTGTTTCAAATCAGCTGTGACGGTTCCTCTCGGACCAGATATCGGTGCGCTGTCAAGCTCTATCCAAATCTCAGATGAACTGTCATCGAGTGAGAGAGGAAACTTGTCTCTCTCCCTCTTCACGATAACATCAGGATCATGTTCTAACGACCCTGCCGATATTTCGGCTTCAACACCATTCGCTATAAAAATATTGTCTATTGTCTAATATGTCCTGTCTAGGATCGATAATTTTAATTTAATTCAAATTAAGGTATCATAACACAACCCACTACGCAGACCTAGTGCGAATTGCTGGGTGTTAACGATTGCAGATGCAGCCCGGACCAGCGGTTTAACGTACCTTCCGAAGCAGGGCGGAGCTCGAGGTAATAATTTTTCGGTCACCCATCCTATGATCGGCTCTTGTATAAGTTACTTAACAACCGTACGTAGAGCGAGTTCGCCTACCACTGCGCCATTAAGCTTCTCATTACATTGGAAACTATAATAAACGAATACCTCTTGAACTGAATCAACGAAATAACTATATGTATACTACTCATATATATAAGATCGTTCTGAGATGAATGGTAGAGTAATGTTTAACAAACAATATAAACTACTAGCCATTGCTTCGAATTAACCGTCGACGACCGTTACTAGCTCGTTGAGTAGCTCGGTGGCGTAGTGAATAAGCGCCGCGGCCCGCGATCGTAGTCGTTAAGCAACTTTCGCAAGGGTCGGTCACGGGATGGGTGACAAAAAAAAAATATATTATCTGCAGCTACTCCGTGCTTCGGAAGGTACGTTAAGCCGTTGGTCCCGGCTGCATTTGCAGTCGTTAATACCCTCCAATCCGCATTGGGCCAGCGTGGAGGGTCATGGCCCATCCTCCTTAACCATCCATAAGGAAGGCCTGAGCCCCTGCAGTGGGGACGTAAAAGGGCTGGTGGTGGTGGTGGTGGTGGTGACCGTTACTAATTGATGTCATACACAATTATTCTTCATAATATATATCTTGCATCCCTGCGTGCGAGTGGTGAATACATAGGGTCTAGCTGAAAATCGGCGTCGGCAAATGCCGAGCTAGATACCTATTTGGTGCAGTCGTGGGACACAATATTTTCTAATATTTTAATGTAGAATAATGTTGAATATCCTATTGTTAATTATTTAATTTGATTAATTATTATATTTAAGTGTCCTATGTGCATGCGCCGAATAAACGAATTTGAATTTATAGGCACACAAACTGGTACCGTTGACAATGAAAACATATATTATTTTTTAACTGAGCATAACCTTTGTGAAACTTGACAAAACAAATATATAACCCTAAAAAAATAAAAAATCATAACGATATTAAAACATGTTAAATTGTTAATATCGGTCTTTGCTACCGGTACGCTGAGGATCTAGCGGGACGCGAGGAGCAGTGAAATTGAAGCAAAAAGAGAGGCCAACTATAGTCTGTTTCACATAGAATAGGTATGGTGACGTTTGTTGACAACTCCATTTTAAGCAATAATAGTAAATATGTAAAAAAGACCGTAAAAGCGACTTAAGGACCTCGTTCAGGGCCTCAAAAAGTATCCCAGTAGATTTGAATCACCAGACTTAACCTTATTACTAACCTACCTGTTACTTAGGAAAATAATCATGTTGGAATATTTAAGAAATTATTCTTTCCAGACTTACCTCTTTTAATTTCAGATTTTTCTTTAACATTTAAAGTGAGGGGCGTTTCAGTATCATGATCAGATTCTTCATCAGGTTGTGCTTGGTAAAAAAATATCTTGTGATTTCCGTCTCGTGTTTCTTTCGTCTTTAGATTAATATTGACGTTGATCGGGTTTGAAGTACCTTTGGAAGCTATCTGTGGATTTCTCCTCCTTTTCGTTGGATCTTTCGCCAAAACTGCCATTGGATCTTTCTTACATTTCATGATTTTTTCTTCGGCACCTTCTTGTCGCATCAAAACGGTTTTTTTCACATATACTTTTTTATTTTTCTGTGCTTCGTTTGTACTTTGTCGACGAGGTGACGCCGACACACCTTCGAATAATCGAGACACGATTGTAGTTTATAAATTACAATATTATTTTTAGAATTGTATAGTAATAAAATATACATCGTGCGCAACATCTTATTAAATCCCCACATTGCATGGTGACCCTGCCAGTGCTGCCTTTGACTGCTCTGGACAGATGGTTACACAAACGCATTTGTGCCAACATGGTAACAACAAAAATATGATAGAGATTAGACGGAATGAAAAAAAAATAGACAATCTGAAATAACGCGAAAAGGGATAATAAATACAAAAATAACCATCTTAATTATAAATATTGAGACTTTTCTTTTTGATTATTTTTTTATTTAATAATACGTCATGCTTACTAGACATTGATAACGAAGATATTTTTAATAACTTTTTTAATTTAATATTAAATTTTCGGTAGTCGGAGTTTTCACTGGACCCGTACTAGATAACATTTGAGCAATATTCGAGTTAGATGTTTCCGTATCGCTGTTTTTTGGTAATAATATATTTTTTAGGTTTCATTTCCTATAAACAAAAAGCCTTATTCTATATGACTGGGATAGGGTTGTTGAAATAGGATAATAGACTCTGAAGAATCAAGTAATTTTGCTGATTCTGGTTCATCTTATTGACGAATATCTTTTTTATGAAATCCTGTTTTTTACATTAACCTCAAAATTTATGATTTATATTATAAATGTACTCTATAATATCGAGTTTTTGTAACCATATTTTTTTCTATTACTACATCACTAAAAGCTTCAAAGCCCAAACGTCATTTTATCCATGCAATGTGAAAAAGACCGTAAAATCGACTCAAGGACCTCGTTCAGGACCCCAGAAGATCTGAATCACCAGATTTTAGCTTAATACTAACCTATTTGTTATTTAGAAAATTGATTTATTAATATATATAATTGATCGAGTTATTTAGAAATTGTTAGAATATTTAAGAAATTATTTTTTCCAGACTTACCACTTTCAATTTCGGTTTTTTCTTTAACATTTAAAGTGGGCGGCGTTTCAGTGTCATCTTTAGATTTTTTTGTATCATCAGATTGTGTTTCGTGAAAAAATATCATACGAATTTCGTCCCGGGTTTCTTTCTTCTTCAGATTAACTTTGACACTGATCGGGTTTGAAGTACCTTCGGAAGCTATCTGTGGATTTGTCGTCCTTTTCGTTGGATCTTTTGCCAAAGCTGCACTTGAATCTTGTCGCATCGAAACTGTTTTTTTCACACATACTTTTTTCTTTTTCTGTGCCCCGTTTGTATTTTTAAATCGATGAGGTGACGTCGACACTCCTTCGAATAATCAAGACACGATTTTAGTTTATAATTACCTTATTATTTTTAGAATTGAATAGTAATAAATTATACAACGTGCATAACAATCGTTTCATTACATCCCCTGCCAGTGCTGCCTTCGAGTGCTCTGAGCTTCTGCTCAGAGCACTCGAAGGCTGAGAAGAAAAAACCACGCTGTCATCTGGTTACGCTAATGCAATTGTGATAGCGTGGTTACAACATAAAATATGATAGAGATTAGACAGAATGAAAAAAAAATACAATCTGAAATAACGCGAAAAGAGACAATTAATACAAAAATAACCAAGTAAATTATAAACAGCTAGTCTAGCCAGAAATTCTGTTACTGGCTGTTTACATACAAAAAAAAACATTAATTTGAATTTCGAACATTAGCTTCTACGATAAAGAAATAGACTTCGTTCCTGCCATTACTGTATGTTTTTTGTTTAGAAATTATTTGTTTAAAAATGGAGTGGGGCGCTAAAGAGATTAGGATTGCAGTAAAGGAGCCAGCCGGCAGTTTTGTTACATTGAAAAAGCTAGAGAACAAACCAAGGCATTAGTGTCATTAGATAGAAACCGAACATTCGGTCGGACATTACAAGCCATTGATGCAGTCAAGGCCAGAATTCGCCGAAATCCCATAAGGAAGCAGAAAATCCTTTCCAAAGAAATGAAAATCCCACTGAGGATACTTTCTCGGATTATCAAACAAGACTTAAATTTAGGGGCTTACCGGAGATACACAGGACATACCTTAAATCAGGCACTAAAACAAAAGAGAGTCGAAAGATCAAAACAGCTGTTACTTCGATACGCGGACGAAAAACACTGAAAAATTATCATTACCGATGAAAAAATTTTTACAATCGAGGAGCACTACAACAATCAAAATGATAGAGTGTACAGCTCTAAAGAAGCTTCCGAGGTAGTAGCCAAAGTTCAGCGAGGCCATCATCCAGCATACGTCATGGTTTGTTGGGGTGTCTCCTACCTAGGGGTTACAAAACTACATTGTTGCGAAAAAGGAGTGAAAGCTTGAGCCAAATTGTATCAAGCTACCGTGTTAGAAACGGTAATTAAACCTCTCAACAACAACTTATTCAAAAACGAAGTGTGGACATTCTAACAGGATTCAGCCCCGGGTCATAAAGCGCGCACTACCAAAATTAGGCTTGAGCAAAATATTCCACACTTCATAAATGCTGATGATTGGCCTTCGGGTAGTCCTAGTAACTAGTTTACTACGTTAACATATCTTTTTCACTCTACATAATCACATATAAAACTTTAAAATATTATTTTTTTTTTGCGAAATTATTGGGTATATGCTTTGAAACAGAACTAGGCCAGACATAGACTTATTTTCTTATATACGAGTATGTATATCGAGACTTACTTTCTTATATACGAGAGTATTTAAAAAAATTAAAAATACGTCGAGTTACAGTTTCTCTTGCAGCGTTCATTTTTGTTCGTTCGTCAGATATAATAATCACTAAATACTGATGTAGATAGTAAACAAAAATAAATACATATTATTTAAATATAAAAAATCAATATACATATTTTTTCTGTTAGTATTTAATATACTATCACTGATTTTGTTGTTGTTGAGTTTTGATTGAACACCGAAGTTGTTGAAATCGAATCAGTATCTTATATTAAACAAACTACTTTCAGGTAGTGCGTTAATTTGTTACACGTTGTATACATCGGTTTGATTTGCGTTTATTCCGATAGTTGTCATAGTCCGGTAGTTTGTGGCGTGTGCAGATTGGATGAATGAGTATTGTTTGCCTGAGTAAGTCATTTGGGAGGAGGGAGATCATCCTACTGGTGCCTGCCTTCCAAGAGGTGTGTGTCTTAAGTCAGAAGAGATTAATTATGAGGGGAAACCCTTTCGCTAAGGCGAACCCATCGTTGATTTTATACACGCAATTCCCTCGCGGGTCTCAGTGGGCTGGGACAGGTTCTTTTAAGCTCATCCGTATAGTAATAATAGGGGCGCGGAAAGCCAGGTGATTCGATGAATGAAAAATGCCTTTCAATAGTAACCTTTAGTTTAGAGGCTTTACGCACCAATATATTTTGAGCATCGTACTCGGTATATGTTAAGGATTGCCTCTTCAAGCGAGGGGTAAGCTGGCTCAAAGAATATTAAGAGTGAGGCTCGTCCCCCTGGCGGGACACAAATTATAATTACAAATTATATAATTATACAGTGACTGTATAATACCAGCCTGGTTGATAGGTGTGATTCTAGGCACGTCCCAGAGGTGTCCTAAGGGTTGTTGAGTAGGGGATGGTGGTGGAAGTGGAAGGTGTCATTACTTTTGATGAAAGTCGATGGTGGTCTTCCCCCCTTCCCTGGTGTTCAGGCATCATGGGTATGAAGCATATGTAGTGGTGGTGATGGTACCAGTATTAGTGGTGGTGGTTTGTGGTTTAAGTACATTTGTATCTACATTTTCATTATGTTTTCAGTATGTCTGATGTCAGTCTGCATTTCCTTACCTTTTTTTGTGACGGTTATAGGGTTAATAGTGAAATATTTTATACATTTATTTCTTTGCCGCATCCATTCATCGTAGTCTACATCGCCTGAACTACATTTAGCGTCGTCTTCATTTGAATTAGAGGGAGGGCGTTTCTTCTTTTTCCTTGTATAAGGTCGACTAGGCTGCTTAATAGAACACTTATTACGCTTGCTTTGAGGTTTTTTTTCTATATCAGCACATTTAGCCGATTTATTCTTGCTCGATTTCTGTTGCGGAAGTTCACCTTCATCTATAACTAGTGTATCAAAGTCGTCATCTGATGGTAAATCTGCTATTTCTTTAAGTGAATTATTAATAACCTTGTCTTTTCCTGTAAAAAAAAACATTTATATAAGTTCCATTTGATTTTCATTCAAGCTATATATATATATTTGTACACTTTACAAAGTAAATAGGTAAACTTACCGTTGTCTTTACTTTCAGGTTTCATCTGCAAAATAAATATATATTTTCTTTTAAATTTGGTAGATAGATGGATGTTTACATGATTTAAAATTAAGTAATTTACAAATTCAACTTCGGTAAAAAAAAATAGGCGGTAACATTTTATTTTATTTTTTCAGTAAAAAATTTTTGTCTCAATGCTTATAATATATTAGAACACACGAGGTAATGAGTCCCTTGGGACTATTTACATTGTTACCGAGACAAATGTATACAATAGAAATTATATTTTTTTACTGCATCAGCTAAATAAATTCTTTGGTGAATGAAACCAGAGAATGTGTGAGTATATTTGAATATAGTACAGTATACGTACAGTAAGGTCTATCAGCGTTCGTCTGACGACATTCTTGGCCTGCAGTAAGGCGGCGGGCGTGCAAGGATTGTCTCGTATCAGCCACAGGCAGCAACAATCACACGAGAGTTTGTGTTGAGCCCTGTTACATAATAAAGCAGATAAACTCATTTTTTTTTTAATTAAGTTACAAAACGCCTCCTTCCTACTAAAAATAAAGCTGTTAAGCAATGAACATTTCATATGAAGCAGCAGGGCTTGAAACCGGTTCAGAATAAACCATTTTTATTTAGGTAAAACCTATTCTCTTATAATGTTCCGTTCCGGATCGGTGAAGAAATGTGAACGCAGCTTCATTCATTATTTATTACCTATTTCAGAACGCATCCATAATCTATATAAAGGAAGTGGCAACCTTCCTTGACCCTTCCTGTTGCGAACCTCATGCTTGTAATACGTACCGTACGTTCTTAAATAAAGCAATCATATATTACATGTTCTATTATTTAGCTAGCCTGTGGATAAATAACTAATATTAATTTTATTTAACTCAGTTTTCATTAATCGGAACTAAATGCGGAGTGAAATTCGGATGGAATAAAAACCGGTTAATTCGCTTGGTTCGTAAAAAGCAATGTTCTTACGCTTTAATGCGAATTATATCATTTTTACGCGACGACATTTATCATACCTGTGTACGGATGTTATAGATAGGAGTGTAGGCACTTAAAAACCGCGCTGAAGTTTGTGAGATCATTGTCTGGAGTCATATTTAAACCGGTTAATGAAGAAAACCGTATTTCTAGTGAACTGATTTAAAAACCTGTTCAAAGGAGCTGAACCTTTTACGTAAAGTTCCGCATGTACTTATGTCGAACCGGTTCAAAAAATAAACCGATTTCCAAGCCCTGTGAAGCAGATGAGTCTGTCGTAGTCACCTATTATGCCACAAAATAATAGAGCGACATAATAAGCGGCAAACGATTACGCATATCAAATCTCTTTCAGATGATGATGTTATGCAATGTTGTAAGGAGTTCTTTAGTACCGACGGACGTGTGGATAGCGAGTGGGGCGGGCGTTTATATATACAGTGGTGGTCGTATTATTAGAAACACTACCAACGGTCGTTGTCATTATGTAAGATACTTCTCCGCAAGTTTTAATTTTGAAATTAAATAATAAATAGGACAACCATTTATCATTTATTAGAAAAACCGGCCTTAAATTCATTAAAAAAGCAAAAAACACATTTATTGTTTTTCAAGGAGTTGTTCGAAATTTTCGAGTTATATACAATTGGTCGACTACTACTCCAAAATTTGTAAAACCAACTTAAGTGTGATAGTTTTCCTTTTAACTTCGTTATATATAGTAACTGCTGACGTAAATTTTGAGTTCTAACGACCGTTTAGTTGGTAAAGGTGAGGGATATTATTAGCTTTTTGAAGCTTAATAAAATCACTAACGGTTTACTAAATTGAAAAATGGCCTTCCCACAACCACAATGTTTTTGAAAGACCTACCCAATGATGCTCCACATTATGGGGAACACGAAAAAAAATTATCGTCCCCACTTTACATGTAGAGGTGGTGGTACCCTAATTTTTTTTTCTCAAAATTTTGTAATAATAAGAGTGTGTATAGGTACTGACTTGTGCATGGTGAGTGGAGTGGGCAGGGTCGCACTGTTGACGGAGTATGGCGAAAAGATCTCCACATGGTTCATACAATCACGGGCCACACAACACGTTGACTCTGTACGACTCAAATCGGTTCTACGTTTCTAGTGAACAAAAAAGGAGAATTTTATAAGTTTGAGTATCTTTACTCATATTATAATGAGAAAACATTTCATTGATTGTTTGTTTGTTTGCTTGCTCGCAACCAATAGGCTACTGGACTGATATCGGTACATAGGGTATGTTTTATCCCGAAAACGGCAAATAAAGGGGTGGAAATAGGAATGGCAGTTTTTATTGGGAATAAAAATGTTACCATAGCAAATGTTTTTTACTATTCAATTTGTCATTATGTATAAATTCGTATAATGATATGAATGGATAAAAAGATCGCTGGCGAAAAATTAGTATTATAGAATTAAAAACAAGAGCCATCAAATTATAATCCAATTAACGGATATGTTGTACCTTACACTCGAGATTGGTAATGCAATTCTAATAAAGAAAAATGATAAAACTTACCACTTCGGCGCGTATTCTGTCAGCGAGTTGTTGTCTCGTGCATACACCGTCTTTCTCTACATATATAAAAAAAATAAAAAACTCAAATTTCTTAAGTTACTAAATTGCAGAAAATGTCGACTTTACGGACATAAAAAATTACCAGACTCTCGGAAACTAACGTTCTAAAGCATTTGAGAAATATATATAAAAAAAATGATTTAGCTATATATTAGTTATAAAACCTATATTTACTTATTATTTAATAATTCTACCGAAGCCTCGGTGACATGTCATATCTCCGCAATTGATTTTCAACTTTACCGTCAATGTAATTAGACTTAAAATTGTGTAAAAAATGACTTCTGTATAACCTGACCTGCTGTTGATTGTACACTAGTAACATTTTTTTATGAAAAATGTATCGTTTTGATTCAAAGAAAGTATGGTCATGTTATGGATATTTTTGTTATGTTATAAATATTATTGTTATATAGTGTGTAAGTTACCGGGTGGCGTGTGCGTATGTGGCGCCACCTGCGCGACTGGTAGCACGCGCTCTCCCCCGCGCCACTCCATGTATCTGCACACGACAACAATAACAGCAGTTCAATCTCAAACATTTGACATTTGAGATCCATCTGAACATTTGATTGTGAACATTACATATGAGAGCTTTAAGTACATAAAAATGTTCCAGATAGATTGTCATTGACGTAGTCTAAAACAAAGTCGCTTCTAATGCAATTTTCATCAATATACAAAAATTCAAGAGTAAGATTTATATGTACGAGGGTCAAACTGAAAGTTCTTAGAAAATCAAAAACTGATTACATTAGCCAGTTATTAGTTTTATTATATCTTTTCAAAATATTGTCCATTCACGTCAATACACCGCTACATGCAATGGAACCACTGGGAAAAGCACTTTGCCCACTCGTCCTTAGGGGTCTCTTCAATGGCATCGCGATACGCAGCCACCGCTTCTTCAGCATTCATAAACCGCTTTCCTTTAAGTTTTTCTTTAATTTTTGGAAATAAATAAAAATCACAAGGCGCGAGGTCGGGGCTATACGGCGGGTGACCCAGTAATTCAACGTTTGATGTCGCCAAATAGTCGATCGTTCGCTTGGCGGTGTGCGACGAGGCGTTGTCGTGGTGAAGGAGGATCCTACTGCGAGGTCGTTTCTCTCGAACTTTTTCCAAGACAAGTGGCAAACAATTGGTAGTGTACCATTCTGCAGAAACTGTTTTTTGATCCTCTAACACAATTGTTGCAAAATGACCTATCCTTCCAAAGAACGAGGCCACCATTTTTTTTTCCCGCACTTCGATCTCTTTTCACTTTAGTTGGCAACTCCTCGAAAGGAAACACCCACTGAGCAGATTGTCTTTTGGTTTTAGGATCATAACAGTAAATCCAGCTTTCGTCACCTGTTAGTATGTCGAACACAGCATTTGAGTCACCTCCGTTAAATCTTTCAATCATTTTACGACACCAATCCACACGATGGAGTTTTTGAGCCTCAGTCAAATTATGAGGTATCCACCGGGCGCAAAGCTTCCTGACCGCTAAATGTTCGTGGAGGATTTTGTGCACTTGACTCATACCGATGCCTAAGCTTGTCCGAATCTGTTGATAGGTCACTCTTTTGTCAGTCTCTATCATACGCCGCACAACACAGATGTTATCTTCAGTCGTCGCCGTAGAAGGCCGTCCCTCACGTAAATCATCAGTGAGATTAGTGCGACCACGTTTAAACTCATTAAACCAGTTGTAAACAGTCGCACGAGATGGGGCTTCATCGTGAAAGGCCAATCGTAGTCTATCATAACTTTCTTGTTGACTTAAATGACATCGAAAGTCATAAAAAATCATTGCACGAAAATTTTCTCGTGTTAAATTCATGATGACGTGACACAGACAATTTTCAATTTGCCGCCAAATCGTAAAACAAATGACAAATGAATGAAATATATACTCAGTAATATTGGCAAAGAGTTATATTTTCAAATTTTAGAATTATTTTTTTATTATATTGTTTATAAGTGGCCAGTTCTAAGAACTTTCAGTTTGACCCTCGTATAAGCAGCTTCGCCGGGCATGGTTTTCACGCGGAATTAAATAATTGCTAATTAAACGCGCGTTATTATAAATGAAAAATAATAAATGTGATGTGTAATCAATCACAAAGTTTTACATAATCAAACTCGTCGTTTTTCAAAGTAACATCACATTTTGAAAAAAAAAATCGGTTCATAATTTCAAGTCATGTTAGGATGAATATCGATAAAATTAGCTTTAAAAGGTGTGATATTATGTCTTAATATGACTGAACATAATAATAATAGTGTACGTTGCGGTTTACAGTGTAAATAAACATCGTTGTTGTATTGGCCAAAGAGAATCCTCAGCCACCAAACGTTTGTCTTAATAAAATCTATATTGAAACATCGATTTTCGATTAATCGCAACATTTTCAAACCTGTCCAAGTGAATATTATTAAAAACAATTATATATAATTAAAAAAACAAATACAAATAATAACTTAAAAATATTTCTACAAACATACCGAATAAGGTTTGATTTCAATCGATTGATAAGATCGATTGTTTTCAAAGTGAATCAACATGCCTACACAATTACATTAAATTATGTTTTATTTGCATTTTAAAATTGGATTTTAAAGAAAACAGAATTATATGAGGATAGATAACCAATTAGTTTTAAAACAGAATCAACTCCCGTCTTGTATTTGACTTATATTTATTATTCTAAATTTGACTTGTACCTAATTGTATTTTTTGTATTTTTTTTTAATTACTTTGTGTTAAATGGTATTTCTTTTAATTGTACATATATAATTCATATATCCCACTCAGAGTCGCTTTCTGAGGACCGATATCGATCACTGTGATCTCCTGATTAGTACGACGGCTTTTATATGTGGGAGCCACCGACATAATTACAAATACAAATATAATGATCAATCATAATAAACAAAACACAATAAAAATAAGCTTACCTAGTAGTTCCCTTCTGTTGGTCGTTCGGAAGTCGGATATTCTTCATAGACGGAATTTCCTTCGGCTCTGATTGTGCCGATTTCAACTGTATCAATACAAGAGTTGTGAATAAGAATAATATTAAGGAACCTGTTGACTTACATCGAGACAGGCGGCCTCGTGTCAGCCGAGCTATTACAAATACCGTTTGAAGTTACTAATCACAAATTAAAGATTTGACTTTATTACTTCTCCATATACTAATCTTCTAAACGAAATTTCATATATTTTCGAAATACTAATATGACTCCAAATAAATTATTTTACGATAATTTAGTATGCAACAGAGGTAGGACCAGACACCGCCTCTGATTTTAACTTATAAAAACTATTCTAAGTATTTCGGATTTTCGTTCGAGGGCATATAGACAGGATGTAATCTACATCGTAAAAAATAAAATTTAGTCTTTGCTTTAACAAACTAGTTAAATATTGAGTTTCAATTTGTCCTAAGTTATCTAACTGTCCTCGGGTTTCAATTTGTCCCAATCTGCTTTATGTTAATAATTGAACTGTTCAAATTTGAGTATTACTGAACAGCTAGACGGTAAAAACTTAGTTATATAACTTATATGGTCAATCTTAATTAACTTAATTGTTATATGGTACAAACTTCGCAAAAAAAGAATAAAAAATGTCACTATAATGGCATCAGAAATATATCATCTGTGAAAATTTAAACTGGTTAGTTATCACGGTATTAGATATAAGCTGGTGACAGATGGACGGACAGCGGTGTCTCCAGTTTTAACCTTCGGGTACGAAACCCTAAAAAATTAGGTTTATTATCTTTGACCAATTGCGCATTCACGATGCTATACTGGAAAATAATGAGATGGGAACCCATCTCAGGGCTGACCCTGAGATGGGTTCCCATCTCATTATGCATCTGAATGCATCTGAATGCACAAACGTCCATTGAGCTTTAATGACGCCTTTAATCACTAATGTCAATATTGTATGGGTAATGCCACTTTAACATAATGGACGGTCGTGCAACTGACTGTCAGAGTACCGGGGACAAAGTGGATTTTTAAGGCATTTTTCATTAAAAATAGGTTAAGTAAAATATAATGCGGAGATTATATTTAATAGTGTAACGTTCAGTTGCACAAACGTCCATTAAGGTATAATGATGCCTTTAGGCTCTAATGAATGTCAAAATTGTATGGATAATCAGCCAGTTGCACAAACGACCATTAAAATGTTCATTATTTTAAAGCGACATTACCGATACAAATTTGACATTCCTTAGAGCTTAAAGGTGTCATTATACCCTAATGGACGTTTGTGCAACTGGCCGAATGTCACTTTAAACTAATGAAAATTTTAATTGATGTTTGTGCAACTGGCTGTATGTGTCTCACCTGGTAGAGCGCGAGCTGGGATGCGGGGATCCTAGTGAGGAGCACGCGTGTTTGCATCAATAGTTTCACGTCCACTGCAGCACAACACACATACATACACACGGTTATTTATCATCATCATCAGCCCTTTTACGTCCCCAATGCAGGGGTTCAGGCCTTCCTTATGGATGGCTAAGGAGAATGGGCCATTACCCTCCACGCTGGCCTAATGTGGAACCCGCAGCGCAACCGGGACCAACGGCTTACGTGCCTTCCGAAACACGGCGTAGATTATATTTACTGGTCACCCATCCCGTGACAGACCCTTGCGAAAGTTGCTTAACAACAACGATCGCGGACCGCGGCGCTTATCCTTTTCAAAGGTATAACGATTGCGATGGCGATTTATGGAGTTGTGTAACGTTAAATACCAATGGGTTTTGGAATTAATAGTGAATTGAATGTTGCAGAAACATAATAAAACTAAGCTAAACCCACCGAAAGACTGCAGTTAGCATTTAACTCTTTCGTTTGACAATAGGGATGACGACTAATTTTTGTTTGTTTGTCCGTCAGGTAGAGTGTAAAAAAATATTAAACACGTATTTTTTTAATCATAAAATTACGGCGTTACATGGCATGACGTCACGTTATGGTACGTTTTCTACTAAACTGTGACGTAGCTAGCCCCCACTCCTCAACTTTAATGCCTTTTATCTAAGCTATTTCTTTGTTAAATTGAAGTAAAAAAAATACGTATCTAATATTTTTCCATTATCTCACTGACGGACTTAATAGAATTGCGTTTTTTTTACTCAGTCGTCATCCCTATTCTTCAAAGATATTTGCGTTTGAACTTAGTTTGCCTAGACAATTCAAATTAACGCCAAATCAACGATATAATTCAATAGCTTAAAAACAACACCATCGCAATCGATATCATATGCCAAATAGTTGTCGGATTGCGATAGTTTTTAATTAGCCCTCAGATTCGTTTTACCTATAAACCCACCTTTAGAATTCTCCGTGGATTGTTTCGTCTCGTGAACGTCGAGCTCGTCCGATGACGAGCCGTCTTCGAACATTATTTTGATCCTTGACTTTTTTGCTCTTCCATCACTATCGCTGTCCTCTTTCTTCTTAAGACTATCGAGATCATTCATGATATTTTCCTTACAATTTTGTATTATTTGCAAACTAATATTATCCTTCCTATCTTCACTAGATTGATTTTGTATTTCATCGTGACTGTATCCGAAAATCAGTGGTTTAGTATCGTCAGTTTCTTCGTCTTTAAATTTCCTCTTTCCTAATCTGCTTAGAGGATATCTGATTTCCATCTCTACGTCGTCGTTGTAGCTCGCTCTTCGCTGTCCTTCTGTATCACTTTGAACTTTATTCTCATCGATATACAGTACAGACTCCTCATCGTCGCTTTCAAATATGATCGTAGCGCGGGCTTTGCTGGGATCTAAAGTTTCTAAATCTTTGATGCTGTCCTCGACTGTTTCGTCGGTAACTTTTTGAATGCGCAATGGTGATTCTTGTGATGCAGCCACAGGGTGCAAATTGGATTCAACAGTTTTTTCATTGTCTGTCGACGAGTCATCTGTTGATAATTTGCGTGTGTCTACTCGAGTGTTTCTCTCGTGTGTACACTGGGCAGTTCTGCTTAATTTATTTTTACCGATTGCTTGAAGGTCTGATGGTTCGAGCCAGTTCCTCATCGCTATTTCCATGAAGTCGTCGCTATCATCTATAAAAAGTGTTCACATCCAGTGTTATTTAACATTTTTTTACTTATTATGGTCAGCATGCGGGTTTCAAGATGTCGCCATCTCACAGGTTCCGAGTCCGATTCACAGTCGTGGTAATGTTGAAAATGTATGACGTATCTGAGATAACGAATGTTATACGTCATAATACGAGAGCTTTTAACTACTTATCTTGTAATCTGAGTGAAGTCGCCATATATATACTAATGTTTCGAAAACATATCAAAGTATATAAAAAAAATACAAATAAGTTATATTAAGTTAGTGTTACTTTATAAAAAAAATTAATACTTTTCTTACAATTTGATTTAAGAATAAAAAACGATATAGTCATAGTTATAAACTATGACTATTTGATAAGAATAATAAGAAAAAATAAGAAAAGTCTTGTCCAAAACAATTATTATTATATCATATTATAATACTAACCTGTTGTAATTTCAGGCTCTATATTATCTGATTCGTCAGCCTGAAAAATGGTGGTTACATATATTACAGAGTCTAATATAATATCACTATAATCATAGGCTACATATACAGACGCTGCAAAATGCAGGTGTCTCAGCTAAAATATATAGACCTAACGAAGTCTTCATTTCTTGTCTCTGTTCTTAGAGGTTTAGGTTAATAAGTAGTGGCGTGCACACCATACATGCAAATAAGCACTGCATACCTACTCATAAAACCCAACTAAACCTACATTGTTTAGTTATTACATATTCATACATTAACTCGATACGAGTATTCAGACTCATGATCATGATTTGGTTAAATTAGTAAAAGTGCCATCTATCAAAAGTTATTCGCAATACAAACATGACAAGTCAAAACTCGTGTTGTACGCAGAAATAATTTGTATTTGTGTGTAAAATTCATGTATGGTTACGGTTTGGAGGCATTGCTTATCACAACCTGATTAAATTAAGAAGTCATCAAAAGATAGTGTTTACGCAAAGGGACTACTACTACGGTGTATCGTTTAAACATTTTTTTTTGCAATTTTGTTTTGATTAGTTTTCGGAGTGCAAGTGATTAATTATGTTGTAAAATCATTAATCAATCTAATTACATAGTGATTTTTGGAAAATTATAGATTTGAGCTGCTCTTTTGCTGTATGCTGGTGATAAATTAAATATAAATGCATTTTTGTTGTCGTTTGAAGAAAAAAATTAAATGGATGCAAAGGGAATGTGTATGCTCGGGTTAGATTTAACAAAAAAGGAAATAGTACTCGTCCTTTAATTGAAAGTATTATGATAGTTATAATTGGCTAGCATTCAAAATTTACAGACAAATTATTTAACAACTATATTTCCTGAAGTTTTCAATAAAAAAGTTAAAAAAAAAACCAATAGTTATGATGACAAAGGGAGTAGCACACTTATAAACATCCTTGTAATTTATACGTTTCATTTAATTTATAAAAATTAAGGGATTCTTCAGATTGATCTTTTTAAGTTATCATTATATGACCATACTTTTTTTTCTCTCTGTTTATATTATATCGGTAATGGTATGATTTTTGTGAATGTCATTACTCCTATTAGAGCTGGTGAGTTTCTTGTTCGTTCTGCTTATCAGCCAAAAGACGTCCTGAACTAGTAGTAGGAAAAAAATGTTGGACGATTCAAAAGTACTTTTCAGAAGTGTACTTGAATAAAGATTATTTTAACTTTTGATACCAAACTTTTTATTGGCCGCTGACTGTTTACGTGAACAATGTCTAAAATTATAGGTATTAAGAATTAACAGTTCAGTAGTTCTTCCTATTACGATAAAACAAAATAATTTTGTGATAACTTATAAATAAGTTACGTTTCGATGTTAATGGTGACCAAAAACATATAAACGATCGTCATCCTGGACTCATTAGAAGGTCCTAAAACTATGGTGAAAATTGGTAAGTTTTTTCAATATAAGTACATGCTGCATACCGTACTCCAAATCTCTGTTCACGCTTTTGCTAATAAGCACTATTCCTTTTATAACAATATATAAACGGTTCTAACAGTGTATTATAAGGTGTTGGAAACTGCAACTTGGAATAAAATAGTATTTTTTGCTCTAAAATATGTGCCTTAAATAATACCTTATATTTTACTATTGCAAAATTAACTTGAGATTTCTAATCTGTGGACTATTAGAACCAAAACGCGGGCGGCCATTACGGAGAATCATGTGACGTCAAATTTCAATCAACTAAACGTCAACGTGTTAGTTTCGAGTACAATCAGTTCTCAACATTATTGAGGTTACTTCACCGCTAGAAATGTCACCCGACTGATTGTTTTTGGGGTTTATTTAATGAAATTAATGAATAAACATATTTTTTACTTTATTTAATAACATTTTTAGGGTAAAAATAAATCTGATAATGGTTTAATATTGATCATATGAAAGTTTTAAAAATATTGTTCCAAATAGTGAAGTAGGTGATTATCGCACTTTCTTTGGATTAATTATTTTCTATTTTAACTATGTAATTATGATCAGTAATTGTTTTGTGCTTTAATAAGTATTTACCTGTTTGTAACACACTCGTTCATCTACAACAAGTTGTAACCATGAAGTTAACTGCTCCGTCACCACGTGCGGCCATCTGTACATACAGACACACACCCTATTTATTATTATAACGTTATATTTAGAAGATCACTCACAGCGAATCAGGCGATTTATCATCAGCCGATTTGCTGTGAGTGATGAGATGACACTCGACCTATTTCTAATTATATTTTTTTTAATTATCAAAAGTTATAATCTACGCGTACATAATTGCTGTAAATGAAATACAGTCAGCGAAACACCTTTATCCTTTTGATGTACAAACTGTAAGTCAGGTTTCCACAATATGTCAAATTTTTGCAATGAATTTCAACTTCTACCCCAAATATATTAAGGTTTAAAATGCATTAGGGAAGATTTGTCAGATTTGTATAGTCTGATGTACAGCTGACTGTACCGTTGTGTTTACATAAAACTATTACCTTCCAATTAAAAAAAAAAACAATATCCCCTACCAATGATGACAAACCAATAGCGGATGAGAATTTAGTATCCGATAACTAGAAAATACAGATAGCACAACTGGGATAGATTAATCATTTATTAATCCCTCCTTTGTTATTGTTACAGATGTTTGATGGGCAAGTTATGCCTTGTTTGTGCATTAGTGCGCGAAATAGTTTTGAGAAGTGTTTAATTTCACTTTTGTTTAAAATCAAAAGAGGGTTACCTCTAAATGACGATGTGAACTATTCTATCGCTAAAGTAGTACATTGCTTTAATGTAAATAATCTTCTCCTTAATGAAGGAAAAACAAAATGCTTAAAATTTGTACTACCTAATGTTAAAAAAATTGATATAAATGTTAATATAAAAGATAAGAACATGGGCCTTGTGGATACCACAGTATTTTTAGGAATAACATTAGATTCTATACTACAGTGGGGCCCACATATAGATAAATTGTCGAGTAGACTTAGCTTTGCAGCATATGCCGTAATGAAAATACGTAGGTTAACTGACATAGATACTGCTAGATGTCGTACGGAATCCTATTGTGGGGAAATGCTGCCAACATACAAATAATTTTTGTGCATCAGTAAGGGCAATTAGATCAATTTATAATCTAAGGATTAGGGAATATTTAAGGGAGAATTTTAAGGAAATAGACATTATGACTGTTGCTTCTCAATACATATACGATAACTTAATGTACGTTCGTAAAAATATTAGTTTATTTTCTATTAAAAGTGATGTACAGAATTTTAATACAAGAAATAAAAATAAAATAACAGTGCCTGTCATTAGACTGCAAAAACTTAATAACCCATTCAAGGGTATTTGTGTGGGTTTCTACAATAAGGTCCCAAGTAAAATACAAATAATTAAATCTACTATTAAAAAAATACTTATTAAAAAAAACTTATTATAAGGTATCCGATTATATAACAGATAAGAACGCTTGGACTTGAGATGATCCAGCAACTGGATAGGTGATTACTTCTAAACTCAATTATCTTGTTTCCATTATTATTAAATGATTATGTTGTCATTATAAGACCATAGTTTTCTTTTTTTCCTCTGTTTATAATGTATTGATCTGGTAATGACATAGTTTTTGTAAATGACATTACTCTTATTAGAGCTGGTGAGTTTCTTGCTCGTTCTTCTTATCAGCCAAAAGACGTCCTGAACGAGTGGTTGGGAAAAAAATGTTGGACGATTCAAAAGTACTTTTAAGAAGTCTATTTGAATAAAGATTATTTTGACTTTGACTTTGAATCATGGAACTCAAAAACCCACTTCCAAATGTCCGGTAAATTTGAAATTTTCCATATATATGTAAGTCAGAAGACAATGCAATATTATGGTGTCAGTAAGCTGATATGGTGATGAAGTCGGAAAGTAGGACTTTATTGATTAAATGACGCAATTGCATCGTGTTTCGGCTCGTTAGATCCGTCTTTATGAGAACAACATATATAAAATTAACATAAAAACACTTTGCAATACATATATTATATCAGAAATGAATATAAATAAAAAAAGTAAAAAATATAATAAAAAAGTTTTTTGAAAACTACTACTGTTCGAATTAAAACGTAAATAATAATTTTATGCAAGACATGGTTATAACGTTAATGTAAAAGTACTTATATTCAAAATTTGCCCATTGTCCATAAATAATTGACTTGAAAATTAAGATTGTAAAATAAATTGTAAATATAATTCGTTTTTGTAAAATTAACTTAAGATTAATAATCTGTGTATATGAAAACCGTCGTGGCATCGTTAATTAAAATTTGACGTCACGGTGTCAAGTGACTGACAGCGTTCAAGGGACAATTTGAATTAATGAGTAAA